ACTGCTGCTCCCCCTCTGGGTGCTGCTGCTCCCCCTCTGGGTGCTGCTGCTCCCCCTCTGGGTGCTGCTGCTCCCCCTCTGGGTGCTACTGCTGCTCCCCCTCTGGGTGGTGCTGCTCCTTTGGGTCTGGGTTCTGGTACTGCTTCAGCATCACCAGGTAGGAGGTAAAGTCAGTTTGCTGCTGAGAAGCTCCTGCAGTAAAACTCACCTGCATGTGTTCGTTACGTAACGTTTAAGGGCTCAGACAGGGTGGGACATCACAGCGTCAGTCCGGCAGGGGGAACCTGGTAACCGCCCAGGTGGGCTGAAGCCCCACCTCCTCCATGCAAACCCACAGCCAGCTGTGACTCAGTAACTGGTTTCCCACCCGCGTCATTACCCAGCATACACTGCTGCTCCGCTGACTGATGTGAAGCCAACACTAACATGTTTGGATCAGGTTTAATCGCTCAGCGCGGTCTCCAGACACAAAGTATTCTGGGTGGTCGTCATCATCTGATCCGTCAGTCTGATGTAAGAAAATGTTTTTAAAGTTCTGCTGGTTCTTAAAGCTGCAGTGTTTACTTAAAGCAGATGAACCAATCAGACTCCAGGGAAGTTCATTTATTAACCAATCACTGTCTGACTTCAACCCGCAGCAGAAACACTTCCTGGTCAAAAGCTGAGACACAGGAATATCCAGAAACTGGACGTCTGAGCTGAACAGGAGCTTTCTACAACTGCTAAATGCTTTTAATTTATGCTGAACTGGAAAAGAAAATATTCAGAAACTAAAACTTCCAACACTTTCCGTCAGTTTGCTGCCACCTGCTGGTAATTCGCAGAATTACACAACATTCATGAACATCCAGATTCATGAATGTTGAATCTGGATGTTCTGGATTCATATTCTAATAGGATATTCATATTAGAATATGAATATCCTAATATTCATATTCATATTAGGATATGAATCACCCTGGATACTTCAGGATGAATACAGTAAACTTTGTTAGGATAAAATGACAAACAATTAGTATATTTGCTGTTTTTTCTACAGTTTTCAAAGCTACGACCAATCGAACCCAGCAGGTAAAAATGCAACCATCAGGCTTCCAAGGTTGATTTTCATTTTCTTTTGGTTCCAGTGACTAAAACGAATACAAGAGGAAAAACTACTCCAGGTTTAGGAAATCCAAGCTTTTGAATATTAACGTTGTTATTTTTAAGACTTTCAAAAGTACCAAAGACCACGTGATCTGCAGTTATCGAGTTATTTTAATGTTAACTGGTCTTAATTTCCCACTGGAAGACAGAAAAGTTACTCAGTTAAACTACTGCGTTTGATCAGCTTCCGTGTGTTTATTCGTTAAAATAAACCACTAAATTACATTTAAAATAAGACAGTTTGACCGTCATATTAAACCAGTTTATTTAAACCAGTTTAAATAATCCGGTTTAGGCGCCAGAGCCTCATTCAGCGGTTCGACTGGAGGACTTAACCCGTCTTTCGGTAACAGAAACACCGCCGACAGGCAGCCGACGAACCGACACAGACTACCAGCGACCGAACCCTCACCAGAACCACCAGGCAGTCGGTGCTGACAGACGGTAAACCCCAGTCTCCTTCCCAGCAAAACAACTCGTCGGGGGCCGCCATCTTTTTCAACCGGAAGATGAACTTTAACACCGGAAAAGGAGCGTTCTTCTCCACCGGCGGCTATCACAATAAAATAAAATAAAAAAATAAATAAATAAATAATAAAATAAAATAAAATAATTTTGTATCATCTTAAAAATTGTACTTAAGACTCAAATAATCTTTGCAAATTGCAAGTAATTCTAATGAAATAAATTCAAATGTGAAACAGAAATCATAAATTCAATTAGAGAAGACATAATAAAATAATTGTGAAGAAAATTAAATGAAATAATTTTAAGCTGAACAAAACAGAATATATGGATAATAAACCAAATATACATATAAACTAACTTCTATTACAACATCAGATTATATTGTTAAAGTCTTATAATTAATAAACAAACAATAAAAAGATTAACTGAAAGCAGTTAGCTGCATATGTTACATTCACCAATCTACATATTAAAACAACTCAAATTTAATTGAAAAGTTTAATCTCAAAAATTCAGTAGACACGCAAAATATACCTGATTTTTGGGGAAGTTATGGTTTAGACGTTTGGCCACAAGTGTTCTTGTGTTAGAAATGAGCTTCTAAACCAAATGTTAACCTCAAGAAATCTGCAGAAGTGGTTAAAAAAGAGAAGCACTGATTATTTAAGGCAGAATATAAGAAAAACTGAGCTCAACCATAAAATCAACTGAAATCATTTAATTTGTATTCCTTCCGCTCTTTTTCTTTGAATCTGATTCCTATTTTATAAAGGAGTGATGACTCAATAACTCTCTCCTCCTCCAGTTATGTCAAATAAAACCTGAAGAGATGAATGATTTTGATGCTTCCCCCTGATTATTCACTGTCAGTTCTGCAGCCTTCAGTCATTTGTAGGAGCAGACAGAGCTGCAGTAACCGGCGGTGGGTTCCTTCTCCCAAAAACCAAAATGGTGAAAGAACTTCCTCCTCTTCACATCTCGGGAGATAAAAGTTGTGAAACTGCCTTCTTCTGAAACACATGACACGGTTTCACAAACACTAGATTTACATTTTAGAGTTTCACTGTGATGCTAAAAGAGGAAGTTATGAGATGGTCCAGTTTGCTGAGGATTTTGCATTTCAGCAGAGAGTTCCTCCTCAATGAAAACAGGAGCAACAAGTTCCTTTAAAGGTGTTTTTATCTACAGACCAGTTTTCAGAAAACATGTCGATGATGCCTAAAAAACTAAAATTTTTAATACTTATCTCTGAATTTTTGTTCTTGCAATAACTTTCAAATTGTAATTGCTTAAAAAAAGCACGTGGCCTCCTGCTTGTTGCTTTTGGTGTTTTTTGGTTCCATTTTCTGTGGTTTCTATGCAGAAAAATGTTTTTCTGCAGCATTTTGTTGTTTTTTTGTGTTTGTGCAACTACATAATGAGTTTTCATCATTTATGTATTTGCAACTTGTTTGAACCCATAGGCCACCGTAGCTTTGAGTTTTTAACAACAAAAATACTGGTTAGGACAGATATACTGCACAACTTTATATATTTGTTATATTATTTTATACTATTTACATATTCTATACAGTCTCTTGTTAAAGCATAATTTATCTTGTGTTTGAAAATATTTACAGATCTCAGGAATAAAAGTTAAGCAACAGGAACTGGGTCACATTTAAAGGCTGTTTTTGTTTTGTCAGCACCATAATTTCATTTGGTGACATGATTTATATCCCATCCAGTTTCTAACGCTGTCTGTTAAATATTTCTGCTCTGCTTGAGCATTGTGATTCCTTCAGTTCTGACCCGGTTTCTCAAACAGAAACAGTTTGAGCTTCTGCTGCAGCAGGATGGAGGATTAATATCCATGTGAGGCTAATCTGCAGCACAGCTCTTCCAGACAGCTGCTTCTTCTTCTGTGTTGAGGTTAAACCAGAAGGTGTTGCTGGTTGATTCAGCACAGCCACATTAAAATGGGAGGTCGCGGGTCGTGACCTCAGCCTCTGGTGGCTACTGAAGAGTAGATGGTCTGATCCAGTTCTTCTGCTTTTCTGTACAGAATAAAAATAAGAAGTTCTAAATGTAAAAGTGTCTCAGCTCATCAGTCAGTCAGTCAGTCATGTCTGCATGTCCTACCTGTCCAGTTTGTTGTGTTTGAACTGGACCGAAGCGTAGCTCATCTCCTCAGCCTCTACTTCCTGTTTCTGACTTCCTGTTTCCTGCTGAAGAGGCGGCAGGATGCTGCTGTAGATGTGATCAGTCTGAGGAGCGCAGAGAGAAGAAGACAGTGAACACTGAGGAACGGACTGCTACAGCTGCAGGAACAAACTTATTACTGTTTATTGCATCAAAATTTTCAACTGACTTGATTATCTTTAACCTTCAGTTATTTAATTTTTACAAAGCAAACAATTTCTACGATGTTTTGTCTTCAAACCTGCAGAGTTTGAGGGAGCTGCCTCCTCAAACTCAATCTGGTTCTGGTTCAAAGGAAGTTTTTCCTTTCCACTGTCGCCACATGCATCCTCAGTTTGAATGACTGCTGCAAAACGACCAGCTGCAAACACCTGGTTTTATATATATTATTTCAACCAGATTCATTTGTCCTGAGACGACATTGATAGTGAACTTGTGATTTATGTAATAGGTCTAAAACGATTAATCAATTTAATTGATTCATCCTTTACACCCTCAAAAATGGCCATTTGCTGAAAAAAACTTATTCATAGATTTAATTAAGCCAAAACTGTCTGAAAAAATAGATACATTTTGCAATGAAGACTGAAAAAACACTTGTGTCTGTAAATGTGTTTTGCCCAAAAATCATCAACTTTCTTTTCACTTCACACTAAAAGAATGTGGTTATTGCATATTAGGCAATAAAATGTTTGTTTTCCTATTTAAAAAAGAAAGCTAACTATTTGTTTATTTGTATCTTTGAATGTATTTTAAATATAGTATAAACAATGTTTAAGTAGTTAAATAAAAAAAAATGTAGAATGTGCCATTAAAAAAAATCTGATAAATCAATTAATCTTCAGAATAATTGATAGATTAATTTATTACTAAAATAACCGTTAAATGCAGCTCTAATATTTAAAAAGTTTAATGTTCAAAACGTGAGTCTATATTTGTGATGCACAAACGACTATATCTTGATTTACAACGTGGCTTCTGGTAATTACAGCGGAGTGTAAGTAAAACACCGACATTTACACATTTAGCTGCATGTTCCCATGTTATGATAAGTTATTTAATTATTAGTCTTAATCGGTTTAATTGTCCAACTATGAACACAGTATAAACTAGTGCGCTAAGTAAGTAAACTTATGCTAGCAAGCTATGCTAGGGGCTGGCGCTTCTTCATGCTAATAGCGCCAGGCTAAAGTCTTTTCATACAGTTGAATTTATTGTGAATAAAGTCACTGCTTTACAGATTATATGCAGGTTTGCTATCCCTAAAACCAGGATAGCAGCTTTATTTATCTTTTGAAATTATTGGCAGTAGCTGTTTACTGGTGGTGTCCACGTCCTCACCACTAAAAAGTATCTCAGTAATGAGGTTAAAATTCATTACTGCTAATACAGTAACTAATTTTAAAAGAAGGTTTAATAAACTATAATTGTAAAATAGAGTACAGCAGTCAGAGCTGAAGGTTGTGGCACTGTAGACTGTCTTGCCTTGGAATCAATATTTCATTGGCAATTTGTAGATAAAAAAATAACTTAATCTAATAATTTAATAATTAATTATTAAATAGAAACATCTTGGATTGGATCTTGCTTTTACTTCCTCGTCCCTTCCTGACCTCTGCCCTCATAAATAGAGGTTAATAAATGAATAAATTAAGACATGAATATCCAAGCATCGCCACAGAATCGATGACAAACAGGAAGTCACCTTCAGCTCTGTTTCTCCTCTCCTGATGTTTGAACTCCCTGCTGCTGTTCGCTTCCTGTAACAAACAAAGGTTTTAAACACAGAAAGAACTAATCAAATGAAGAAATAATCCTCATTGATGTTCGTATTTTAATGGTAACCTATTTTTAACTCCACCCTGATGACATCACAGAAGGTGGTGGCGCGCTTTGGTGGCTGAATGTGGGTGAGAAGGTTTAATAAACTGATTCCTAAGTAAAGTTTTAATTACTCAGCTTCCTGTTTGTCTTGGGAATGTTCTGGAAACACCCAGACAATGCTAATTAAAATACTAGCTGTGCTAAACCTAAAACACTAATTATTAAATTTAGTTAATAATTAGTATAATAATTAGTTAATAATTAGCACATGAAAGTGCTACACCAACACAGTATTTAGTTGAAGCTAATGGCTAATGCTAAACTTCAATTTAAATTCTATCTGCTCTTAAAAGACTACAACCCTCGAGCAAAATTTAAATTTTACGTCATTATTTAAATGTTCTATAATCCCTTTTAGATATTGAATTTATATTTCTATCTTGTTTTCTTCTGTCTATTTTAGTTTATTCCTGAATGTTTCTTGTTTTAAATAAAATTATTTGAGGAGAAACAGAAAGAGAATGGTGAAGAGAGGAAACAGGACTGGAGAGTAAACAAACTTCAAAATAAGAGTGTGAATATAAACATCTATTTAAAGAATCTTTAACAGTCCTGAAAACAGATGTCAACCTTTGTTCAACTAAAAGTTTACAAAACAGCCAAGCGCTTGAAAATTTATCAGGAAAAATAGGAAGCTAAGTGCAGTAAACATTTTCAAAGTTAGCCCTTAGCTACTCTATTAGCACATTAGCACTACTGCGGTACCTTTTAATGATGAAGATGAGGAGGATGAGGGTGGTGACCACCAGCAGGACTCCAAAGGTCACAGCAGCAGCCAGAGGAAAGTTAGAGTCTGGAAAACAGAAAGTTTCTAACCATCAGGTTTATTCTGCAGCTGGACGCACCATTCAGATCCATTAAATCTAGATGATTTAAACCGTTAACGGAGGATTTTATTTCCAGAAATTCTCAAGAGTTTAGCTATAAAAATGTGTCGGGGTTCTGTGGTGGCACAGGGGTTAAGCACAACCCAAATAAGGAGGCCTTGGTCCCAGATGTGGCCGTCGCAGGATCAAATCCTGGCCTGCTGACCTTTGCCTCATGTCTTCCCTCTTTCATTACCTGCTTTCCTGTCATAACATTTTTTAAATAAAGGCCACAAAAAACCTTTTTAAAAAAAAGTGTCACATGTGGTGGATGCATAGCTCAGAAAATTAGAATATGATGAAAAAGTTCATTATTTTTGTCCTTCATGTTACATCATTTATGTAGATTTATTACACCTTGAATAAAATATGTAAAGTTTTTATTTCTTGTAGTTTTGATGATTCTGGTTAACAAAGAATGAAAACCCAAATCCAGGAAGCCCCATTGTGTTGCTTGATGCTTCGGCTCCATGCAAAGATCTCACAAAGTTTTTCAAGGATCTGAATGACAATCCTGTCAAATCAGTGCTTATCCTGGATGCTAGGACACCATTACTTAATACACTTTTTCCTTCCACTCAGTTTTCTTGGTTTGAAATATTTTACTCATTGTGTGAACAGAAAACATTGAACGTTTTAAAGATTTTGTAGTTTTTTTAGATGTTGCTCAGTGGTTCCCAAAGTGTGGGGCGTGCCCCCTAGGGTGGACGCAATGCCATTGCAGGGGGGGCGCAATGAAAAAAATAAACCTCTCAGGGAGCTGTTCATGTTTTAACCCCATTTTGCACAGAGGTTTTCTTTTGATGTATTGATGATAGCA